ATGTTTGTTATGTTTATATGTGAACCTTGGATTTGATAGCACTTACTTTTAGCACTTATAATGAAAGGGATTATAAAAATTGTCAAATAATATAACATTAATTAGGATTCACTCTAAAATTGTTTACCTGTAAAAAACATAAATAATGTCTGGACACATCTGATAATATACATTGTATATTATAAACTATGGTGGACGAATTGTTTAATTTAAAAATTCCTTTTAATTTTGTCGGTGTATTCATTCATAAATATTATATATTTAAAAATTAATTTAATGCAGTAATTGTGAAATAGTCTTTATGATTATGGTTTAGTTTGATATTTGATATATATGTTAAAAAATTAAAAGTAAAAATTATACCGATCATTGAGTACATTACCAATTGTGTATATTTTCAATAGGACGGAATAAATATTAAACTTCAACCAGGATCAAAATTAAAATTGTAATTTGCTTATTATTTTTAAAAATATGCAAAACAAAAACGAAAGCAAATGTCAAATATGTGGGGACAACTCATGTAGTATGTATTTTTTTAAAATGGGTATATAATAAATAAATATAAAATTATTGTCATTTTGTGGTGAATAGGCTATCATTTCGATGCCATGACCTGTAGTTCTTGTAAAGCATTTTTCAGGAGGAATGCCCTCATCAAAGTGGTAATTATTATATTTTTGATAATGGATTTACAATTAAAATAATCTAATATCTGTGAACAGGATCAATTCAAGTGCTATTTGGGCGGTAAATGTATAATAGATGTGAACAACAGAATTAATTGTCGGAAATGTCGTTTAGATAAGTGTTTTGCAGTCGGCATGAGAACCGTGAGTAAAAATATATAAAAACATATATATAATATAAAAATATATATATAATATATTAATATGAAGTTTTATGAACACTATTATGGTTTTGTAAATAGGATTTATTTGAATCGGAGGGACGAAAATATAAGACAAAATCAATTAAAAGTATTGATAATGTGTCCGAAAACACGAATCTAATTGTTGTTTCAACCTATAGTTCATTTCCTGACATATCTCGCAATATGATTGATGAAATTGATGATAATTTAGATAATGTTGTAAATGATAATATTCCTAATAACACATCAATGAATTCAAATATATCTGAACAAAATCTATCGGTCACACCAATTGTGAGGCCGATCACTGATTATAGCAATCAATTCAATGAATTAGAGGGCAATAAATTGAGTGAATTATTAGACGCCTTGAAGATTATGATGAATCCATTGGAGGCTATGAAGGGACCAATAATTACTCCCAAAACGTTTAGCGATATTTTCAAACTATTTCTTACAAGACATGAGAATGAGGGCCGAAAAATGGTTAAAATGTCTAAATGTTTGCCCGCGTTTAGTACGTTGTGTGAGCATGATCAAATGATTTTAATCAAATACGCCGCCATTGAAATCAATGTCTTGCGAATGATTTTGGATTTTAATTTTGACGAAAAGTCCTGTAGATTAATGGATGTGGGTGATTTTAATAAATAGCTCTGATGCCAATTATTAATTAAACTTTTTACTCAATTGTAGAAAAATCAAATTTATGTATTACATGTGGGCGCATTTCACTGCACTCAGTATTCACTAACCAAAATTCATCCGGGTAATATAAATCATCATACCTTTTTGCAAAACATGGGACTCGATTGGGACTCAGAGATACTTATTATAGACTTGGTATATATTTACAATTATTTTAAATAAATTTACTACTATTTATAATGTTTCTACATATTAATAGTTAACAGCAATTGTATTGTTTAACCCGGATCGTCCAAAACTTATTAACAAAGCATTTATTAAGTAAGTAATTACACCACATACTAATTTATTACATACTATTACATAATTAGATTACTATTTTATAATTATATTTATTTACCTATTTATAGATTACAGCAAATAATTTACATTCATTTACTTCAACGCTATCTACAAATGAAATATCGATCAGAAATGCTATCAAAAAGAAAATTCTTAAGATTATTAGAAAACCTAAAGAATTTGAATATTATTAACCATAAAATGATTAAAATATCAAAGAATACGGATTTGAATTCATTTCCACTTTTCAAGGAAATATGCGATAGTTTTTAAATTTAGCATTTAAATATTGTAATTAACTGATCAAATAATTAATTGTAATATACGCTATAGATTTTGTAAATTAATATTTTGTTTTTGTATTATTCTAGATTTATGTGTAATTAGATTACTTTTAATCGGGAAAATATTATATTAAATATGTAATTTATACGCTAAAATGCTAACTTTGCTTTTGTTTATCGTGTTAATTGTGTTTCACTTACTTCAACGGTATCTATAAATGAAATATCGATTAAAATTACAAACTATCGAAAGACAAACTTTTAGTATTAATTAAAAACTATAAACTTATAAGGATTTAAAAACCCTTAATTTAATAAATATATATATATTATTTGTAGATTAATTCACACATTAAATATTTCTCACGAAACAAAACATTTGATTACAACGTATAAAAACAAATCAAACTAGTTTATATTTAGTCAGATATTTATTACGCTTGCACTTAAAGTAATAATAAGTCTTATAAACTAATCCCTACAGAAAACCGTATCAGGGACATATCAAATGTTATAGGATGCACTTCAATATTACACATCCTTATAGTAACATATACTTTGAATACTAGTAACCCCTTTACTTGTTTATATATTAATTTTTTTGTAAAGTTGCTAAAGAATATTGAGATAAGCAAGTGCAATTAGTGCGAGTTGCTAAGTATTGCTTTTGTCAATACTTATATTTAGAATATATTATACAGGGCGGCCAGAATATGGCTATACCACTTTGATTTCAATTTATTTAAATACCGTTTTGTTTACTTTATTCATTTATTCACTAAATTGTAGCTGGATAGTTAGGGTTTTGTTTGGTATATGATAT